TAATATATAGTTGCTTTTCTGAAGATGTATCTACTCTTAAGGTTTCATACTCTAAGTCCGTTAACAATTAGGTACCCTAAAGTCCTGCTAAAATAAACTTAAAAGTCCATACTAACCCTAAAGGATAAACTTTAGTTAGGAAACAGAGACATAATTTCTTAGACATCATAACCTATATATATATAGGCCCTAGTCAGAGTTGAAATATAAGAGTCTAAAGAGCAAACTGAAGAAAAGTTTAACTTCTTTTTATTAGTAGTGTATCTTTTTCATGATTTTTTCTTCAAAGCAGCTTTTGTTTTAGAAAAAATCTCCTCTGCTAGTTCTCTGTGGATACTAGGCACGTAGCTGTCCTAGGCACACAGGTGAATAAGAATCTTAGTGCACACTAGAAGAGACATTTTCACCAAATTTCTTCCTTTCCCTGTATGTGACATACTTCTAAAAGCCATTATGTTATGAATTGCTTGTGTCTCTTATAGTGGAAATAGACAATACTGGATTCAGTTCCATAGATCAGCAGGTCTTTCTAAACAGCAAATTGCCTTTCAGTGATAGGTTGTTACCGTCAAAGATGTTCTTAACTAAAATTTGTAGTACTTTTTCCTAAACTTGTTCTGTTAAGCCAACTGGACAATAAAAACATGATAATGCTGAGAATATACTTTCTTCCAAATGGAATACAATTACCAAAAAAAAACAACAGTTCTGTCTTTATCAGAAGAAATAGATTTCTGATATTATAGGTTGGGTTATGATGGGTTCATTGAATAGTCACTTGAACTTTCTGTATGCTAATAATCTATATGCTTTATTTTACCCAGATCTTTCTGAAAGGAGGATAATCTCTGGGGAGGATGATCTCTAAAGGTCCCACCCAACCTCAACCATGCTGTAATTCTGTGATCTTTTCTTTTACTTCTTTCAAGCCCCTCTGACCAAGCTGAAATTACCTCTAAAACAAAACTTCACACTAGAACTGTAAACATCAGAAGAAAAATATGTAAAATGAATAAATGAGGCAGCATTGTAGCTGCTAATTTCGAAGGATGTGCACCTGATTTTAGGTTTATTCATGCTAAGAGAAATGTTCAATAATCAGCAAAATCATACACACATAAAACTGTATGTACTATGAGCTTTGATTGCGTTATGAAAATCAAGTCTCCCTGTGAGAATATATATAATATATTAGACACTGAGATTTTTAGCATCTTTCTTGAATCTCTAAATTAATTCGAGTGAGCTTAATCTTAGATCCATGTAGCCAAAAGTAAGTTTGTCAGCATTTTTTGTTCCTTTTTGAAAGTAGTAAGCTATAAGAGGATTCAAGTACTGTTTCCATATGCAAACTTCTTGTCAGCAATGTTTAATAAAATAGGAAGAATAATGTGTTCCACAGCTTCCTTTACGATTTCTTCATGTTTCTTTTAAAAGGCAGGCAGGACTGTCACTGTTTCAGAATAAATAACTTTGAAACTGCTTTTCACTTTACTTTGTATTATCAAAACAATCTGCTTTCACTCTTTTCCTTAAACTTTGTTAGTGTTTATTTTTTTCTGTGCAGTGGACTTCTACTCCTCTTCTTTATCTACAAGTCAGAATTTGCTTCTCTTAGGGTTTAGTCATGTTTCCCTTCCACCAAAGGACTGACAATTCTGAATGTCTAGTGCTTTTCATTAGCCTTTTTTCAGTGCTGATCACACGTACAAGTTCAGTTTTTTAACTCACATCACTTGTCAATTCAGAAAAGGTGCATTAGGCACCTCTTCATTAGGCAATCTCTTCATGTCTGCTTGTTGTGTAACATTTGCCAGTGTGTACATTTGAGTTTCGTTATTCCCCTCTGTGCTCAAGATGAAACAAAGTTGTCCCATTAGGTGAAAAACAAAGGAAGTTCCCTTGACAAGCTATAGTGTTTTCTTCATCATTCAGTCTTTCAACTCACAATGTTCCTATCTGTAAGTGGAACCAGGACCCAGGGTCCTCTGCTGCATGGTGGGACTTTTGTACCGCAGCAGCAGTGGCCCTCTGGCTAGTGAGAGGGGCAGGCTGTGCGGCACCTGCCTTGCACCTGAGCGTGCCTGGAGGTGGGGGCAAGGGCAGGCAGGAAGAACACTAATTCCCTACGGCAAGAACTGGACAGGAAGCCCCAAGATACTTCCTGCGCTTCACCTTGTTGGTGCTTGTACAATGTTACATGAAGATGGATTCATATCTGCACACCGTGTTGGATTGTCTTTGTGAAATAATGTGTTGGCAATTGGTTTTCTTGCCCAGAAAACCTGCAAAATAAGAGTTTCAACAACATACAACATACTACAGAAGAAAGTCACCCAAACAATTCTGTACAGCCATAATCATACTCTTTTAACACTGGACTGGTGGATGATTTATTGTGAAAATACCTAAATATTTATGTTTTAAATAGGCTTGACAGGTAGCTGAGACTCATGCTTGAAAATCAGACAATATAATTGTATTTTAGATTTTGTTTAATAAAACGACTTTTGCCTTTTCATGTAGCATGTAGTGTCACCTCATAAATATCACAAATTAGATGGCTTTAAAGTTATGTCTCGAGTAGCTAGTCATTCTATTTTCTGTAGTTATTAGCTCATAAACCATAACTGGTATATTAAAAATAAATATTAAAAGAGAAAATTATATAGTCTACAGCATATCACAATGTTGATACTAATTTTCTATTTAATCATACTGATGTCAGCCAATATATTATCTCCATATATATATGTATATATATGTATATACACACAGACGTTTATTTAAGTATTGGCATCTGTTAGAAATTTGTATTTTGATGCCATCTGAATGACATAAAAACTACAAAATATGCAAATTTTTTGGAAAAGTGTAAATGGATATTAGTTTGCATCCACAGAGATGCTGTAGCTATTGCAGATGCTGGTGTCTTGGAATCTGATTACATCCACAAAAGCTGAGAGTCTTCTCTTTCTTTGTCTAACACCGATTGATTTAATTCAGTTGTAGAAACCTTCACATTTGCTCCCAGGCTCTTTAATATTAGCGGGGAGAGTGTTCAGGTGTATTTTTAAAGAAACAGTGGAGCAGACATTTATTAGGCTGTGATTTTTTATACATCTGGGAAAAGAAAATACTTGTTTTTTTTCTGATTTTAAGTAGTACAAAGAAAAAGACTCTAATAAAAAGTTTACAGGCCTGAAATAAACCAGCAGCATCAATGAATCTGACGGGAGCAAAATAAGCTCATCAACTGAGAAGAAGATTGTTACTTGTCAGCCACTTCATCCTGTATCACACCAGCAGCCTTCTCCAAAATCCTGGAAGTCTTTTTAGCAGTCTTGAAAGATCATTATATTTTGGTTCTTCATTGTTACTACACACGGGGTCTTTCACACGTTCTAGGTAACTTATGCTTGCCATTGTGTTCAGGGATAGTAAGATGAGATGCTAACTGACATAACTATGATTAAGGACCCTGTTCCAGTTCTATAACTTGCATCTGGTAGAACCTTTCTCGCCAGAAAGCCTGCTGAGTCAGTAGGATAAATCTGAAAGTCAATGTTCGTGATTCAGTAACTGTTATTTGACTGAATTCAGCTAGCTTATGTGTTTTATAATTTTAGAAAAAACTTATATTATGACATATAACTTAAGATTTCATTTTCAAGTATGTCAGTTTCACACCAAAGATGAAGGCTGAGGATGGCAAACATGTTTTGGCCTTTCTAGAGAGGGCAGAGCAAAGGGCAAGCTACATTGTTGCATGCATGGAATAACTCAGAGTTACTGCTTAATATATGAAGCGTGCTATAATTACCATGAAAGCGCCTGACTAATTCTTTTTTTGGGTTTGTGTGGAGGAGTTAGAGCTATAAATAATTTCTTTCTGATTTTGAGAGAGACAAATGCTGGCATACATCATCCATATTCTGTTTCCCTTAGATCCTGCAGAGCAGCATATCTAACTTTATACATGCAAAGTTTTCTGTCCCTAAATTTCTATTGAATTTAGGTCCCTGAAAATGCAAAGCACAAACCTGATTCTGAGTACTTTAACTAACGTACATCTAAGTAGGTACTTCTAACATACGTTTAGGTAAGCACCTAACAAGCATATCAGTACCTTATTAGTGAAATCGGAGACTGAGTTTAAAAACCTGAGATCACTGTACTTCCTTCACTGCATCCCCACTCCTTTTTTTCTCCCAGCTGAAAAATCTTGGTCAGAAGGCAACCTAATCAAGCTGTGACAGGTTTGGTGTGTGAGCCTGGATGTTTTATTTTTGTGTTCCTGTTACTTAACAAATCACTGAAACTGTCACTTAAAGGCACTGAAACCTTGAGGCATTTCATAGGGCTTTTGGCCTGGAACATCTGCCAAACTGGAGTTTTAAGTAACTTCTATGTTTATACAAGTTTAAACAAGCATTTATTTCAGTACTTGGAAAACAGATTATCCCTCCATACAAATCACTTGCACTGTTATTTTTTTGCAAAGATAACGTTACACCTCATTTCATTTTACTGTCATTCTCTCTGCTTCTGTGGCTAAGCTGGTACCTGTGAATACCAGTTCATCTGTACCTTTGTGTGCAAAGATAATGTTAGACCTCATTTCATTGTACTGTCGTTCCCTCTGCTTCTGTGGCTAGGCTGGTACCTGTGAATACTGGCTGATCTGCCAGAATCAGGCAAGCTTTTAAGAAAATGAGTTTTGACATTCCTTTCCTTAAGATGATCCTTTGTTTTTCAATTACTGCTTTCTCACTGGGAGGTTTCTTGAGGTAACCCTGAGCTTGTTCCCAGACTGTCAAGCAGGTGGCAGCAGTGCCACGTCGGAGCCGCTCGGCTACCCTTGCCGCTGACATCAAGTGTTAACGCAATTGACCAATCAGTGCTAAGATGATGGGAGGTAATTGGGTAATTGTATTTTACTGATCACAAGCAGAGAAAAGAAGGGGGGAAAAAAGGGGGGGGGGGGGAGAGAACAGAAGGGGAGAAGGAAGAGTGTAGCCAGAAAGATTCGCCCTGGGACATTTGCAAATCCTAGGGTGCCACTGAAAGGGGGGGAGTAGGAGAAAGGCAGAGCGACAGAAAAGCGGAGCTACTCCCAGCAGCAACAGCAGCAGCTGTCTGGAACTGGATATATACATACATGCGTACGTACATGCACACACAGGGGGAATTCAAGCTGAAGCTAATGGCAGGGAGAAGGGGTTTCTGCTGTGCAAAGGGCTGTGCGTTTCAGGGATGAAACTAAAAACTGAAAGAAGCGGCAGCGCTCCTGGGAATGTGTCATCTTGGAAGGGAGGGAGGCAGGAAGGAAGGAAGAAAAGGGGGAAGATAACTGGCATGTGGAAGAAGATGGGAGCCTAATTCACTGCTGTGCAGAAGGGAAATTCAACTTGTAGATCTGAAATACACGAGGCTGAGCTTGGAAATGAGATCGGACCTGCGCTTGAAATAGAGACAGAGGAAAAGGGAGGCAGAGACTGGAGAGCTTTTATCCTTCCCCCTCTCTCTCTTTCCCCTCTCCCCAAAGAAGAAACAGAAGTTTATGCGTCTTGGTGCTGCTGGATCTTTATAGCTGCTGGACAAAAGATGGAGAGGAAGCTGAAATGAAGAGCAAAGGGAGCCCGGTGCTTGTGAAATCCAGAGCTAAGAGGACAAATCACGCCTCCCCAGGGTTCTTTTGTGCCCCATCGGGGGAGTTTTAACATCAAAAAGATTTTGAGAAATGTGGGGGGGCAAAGGGGAGAGTGGGCGTTAAAAACACGCGTCCCAAGTGTTTAAAAAATAACGAGGGGATGGATTTATTCTTGACAGCTGGTGGGAACCTTGAATTTTTTCCACTCCCTCCCTCCCTCTATTCCATTTACTGTGAGATTATGAAAATGCAGAGGAGTTGGAGAGAAGGCAAAAGGATATAACGTGGAGTTTGAAGCGAGGAGAGGGTGCTGATGCTGTGGATTGCTGGCTTCTTGCTGAAATCAAAAATCCAATTGCGCACTGGGTTGTGATTGGAAATCTAATCAGATCTCTGGAGGGGGGGAGAGAGACTAAAAGTTTATTCTTTTGATACACACAAAGAAAAAATTAAATGCAAAAGGAAGTTCTCTGCTAAAGGAGTGTGAGGCAATAGGGAAAACAGAAGAATGGGAACCCCCGTTCTAATGTGGAGGCGCACAGATTGGATAATTGATAGTGCAGCAAAGAAGGGGGAAGAAGAAAATTGCCTGGCAAGACCTGGATCTTAACAGTCACAACAAAATTACATTAAAAGAATACAGATGGAGGGTTCCTTAAAGAGAAATACAGCCCTTTCTGCTCTCCTGAGAAAAACTAAATAGTGAGCAATGGAGAGCAGAGGAGCCAGAGAGGCAGAAAACCTCAGAAAAAGGAAACTAGGCAAAGGATGCACAGTGGAATGAAAAGTTTCGGAAAGGAGAAGGACCATTCATCCTCAGCAAGGGTTTTGTTTTTTTCTTGTTACTTTAAACCCCTCTTCTCCAGCAAAGGCAAACATCGATGCTACTACCACTACAGCAATTTTAAGCAGAAAACTTGAAAGCGACAGAGAAAAAAAAAGGACAGAGAAGAAGAAAGAAAAATTGCTGAAGGAGAAGGATTCAGCAGTGTTGGCTTTGGATTGGCACCTCTATGGACTCAAAGTGATTGGAAATTGCGGTTGGATATATTTTATTTTTATTTTCCTTTCTTATTTTTAATTTCGGTTTGGTTGCTGAAATGAAATAGTTTTCCTAACCCCTCCCCCACCCTGTTTTTTTCATAACCACTCGGATTTCCAGCTGGATAGTCTTTGAGGATACAGTAAGTGCACTTTCCATTTTATTTTTTGTTGGAAAAGAAAATATGCCCCATTGCCTCTTTCTTCCTTCTCCCTTGTCACTCGGTCTGATCCCCCCCGCCTGTCCTCCACCTTAAAAAAAAAAAAAAAATCTGATGAATTCTAAGAACTGAATGTTGATAATGATGATTGGGGGGGCGGGGGGGGAGGTCAGGAAGGGAGAAGGGAAGGAATGAGGACAGAACCAAAATCTCACAGTACCTGAAATGTTCCTGTTAGTGAAACTTCAACCTTGGTAGGATGTTGCAGATGCCTGCCTGTCTGCCTTGTGGCTCTGTAGCATTTGTAAATGTTCCCTAGCAAAGAAAAATTTTTGAGAAAGCCCCTGCAGTGAGTGGTAGTGTGCTGCCTGATTGCCCAATCTGTACAAACCGTTGCAACTTGCATAGAATTGGATGCACAGAAGAGGTCTGTTTATTTATTTTGTAAGTATTTAAAACAAGGGCTCAAATTTAAATCCTGGCATCCAGTCTGACATTGCAGGTCAATATGGTGTATTAACAGGAAAATTTTATAATCAGGTAGGGAGGTGAAGGATGGCTTTTGGCGGGAGTAGGGGGAGTAGGACAAGAGGTAGTAATGGATTTTGAGGAGGCAGTATTGTGAAGAAATGGTATTCTTTACACACCATTGCTAAAAGCAAATAGTAGCAGGCAGAGAGAGGGCATCTAAAAGCAAAGAGTAGCAGGCAGAGAGAGGGCATTCTGCTATTGAAGGGGAGTTCTGAAAACTGCTGTACAAGGCACCCATGCCCTCCAGATCTCCTAGGAAATTCTTTGTGATTTTGTGGCGAATCCTGACTCCCCTAGGATTTCCATGGCAGTTGAAGGAGATTTACTTTATTTGACGAGCAGTGAGGATACTATGGTATTAGGAGGTTTTTGTTACTACGATGATAAAAATAATAAAAAATGGCTTGTAGCTCATGGGGTTCACAGGTTAGTAGTCATGTGTAAGTAACAAATCACTAAATCTCTCTCTCTTTCTGAAGAAATGGGATGGGGGGGGTGTGTGGAATAGAGATAGGATAACACGTTTAAAATAGAGGTCCTCGTGTTCCTGTGGGGAAGAGCGCCACTTCCGTCCCCTCTCCTGGCATGACTGCTTACCTTGTAGATGGGGATTTTATTTCCTATTTCCCCCTTTTTGTCCTCTCTCACCTCCACCCTCCTCAACCTTGGCCTTCACATGTAGAGGCTCCAACTGAAAGTCTTTATTAGGCCAAATTTTTTGAAGAAAGAGGGAAGGAAACACATAATTAAATGAACCATTGGACAAATATGGATATTTTTTGGCAGGCAGGGTGCAGAACTAGCTTTGCCATTCATTTTACTTTTCTCTAGCTGCAATATTCTGGAGGAGGGGAAAAACAGGGATGGGAAAGGTGTTGGTAGAGCTGGATCTTGATTTTAACATTTTTTTTCTGGCAGTATTTCCTTCTTCTCAAGCTTCCTGCGTCAAGCAACACAAACCAGAGCTCTAACTTCCTTGGATAAACACATAAATAAATATTAACCTCTTCCTTTTTCCCATTTCTGAATTTTCTTGCATCACCACTGTTATTTTATGTAAGCCTCTTCTATTTGGCGTAATGATGTAATGGAAATGAGACCTTCGGCCTTTCAAATGTGTCCCATGTGCTTCTGTTTGGAGGTCATGCCTCTTAAGCATTGGCTACTTGTAAAGGATTGCAATTTAGGGTCCAGTTCTGCTCCTAAGGAAATCCCTGGGAGTTTTTGTTTTGCTACACGAACAAGTCAGACCCTTTGTGCTGTTGTGTTTAGAAATAGAAGGAAGCAGGCGCAAAAAAAATTGTTCCTTCCAGCTCCAATTATTCTCATCCTTCTCAGTATTCCACAGATAAATCAGTTTAGTATGAAATGCTTTTGCCTCATTTATTTCTCTGAGCACATGTTTTCTGGTGGGACACTAAGTTTGCTAGCATCTGAAAAAAAAGCACAAAATTCTACTCTCCGTTCCTTCATGTATTATTGTAAGTCTGTGCCCTATTGTGGGCTACACTTACATCAGCAGTTGCAGTAATAGAGCAGCTAAATTTATGTTAAGCTGCTACTCAGTAATTACTGAAGGAAAAAGAAGCTGGCTAAGGAAAAGGCATCTCCAAGCTTTTCCCTGGATTGCTGTCAAGTGAGCACATGAACAGAAAATCTGATAGAGCAAGTCTACCTTTTGGCAATAGAAGGCTGCCATAGATGCCTAATTCATTTTGTACGATAACTAGCAGGAGGATTTGCTTAAGGTGATAAGGAAGCACTGAGAAAATTTAGCCACCAGTTTGGGCTGAAATAGGCAAACCCTGTGAACATTAAAAATCTAGGGGATGTATGTCTGCTTCTAAAGAAGCAACAGTTTCACACTTCAGTGAATCATTCACTTAATACAGTAGCCAAAGACACATGGAACAGCTCAGAGTTTAACTCATTCAATCTCATAATAGGGCTGAGTTTAGAATTTCTCAGCGCTTGTGCAAGGACTTATCCAGAGTCCAAAGAGCTGGTCTTAAAAGAAATGGCAAAAACATCAATCCAAACGTACCTAGATGAGGAGCAACAAATCTCCTTGAGCGGAGGCAAGAGCTAGCTGTCTTTGCTACTTCCCTTGTGCGTGCTTGAGCACAGGTGTATCATGCAGCAACATATGCTGATCCTGCAGGCTGTCTCCTCTTCCAAAATGTGGGCAGTCCATTTAGTAACGACCCTGGCAGCTAGGCATTTGGCACTGTACAGTGGCCCATTCTGTATCTATTTAGGTTCCAAGTGCTAGTACAGAAGGAAAGAGAAAGCTGTGTTTGAAAAGTCCTGCTCCATTTGCTGTAGTTGCTTTCCAGAAAGTCAGAGATCATTAATCTCAAACTTCAGTTTCATTGGTAAACTGCTGTTTAGTAATACAATGGGGCAGCTAGTGCATGTCTTTTCACACATCAGGAATTATTTGCACTGATCCAGAATAGGAGCAGGTTCAGTTTGCTGGAGGAGCAAATTTTGTGTCACAGTTATCTTCCACCTTGATTGCAATAACAAGTGAAAAATGCATTTTTGGAGTGGGTGAGACTCAACAAAGAATGTTTCAGATGTAAACAGATAGAAGCAATTGTGTGAAACTAGAGAACGAGAGTGATTCCCAGGATCCTGTCATGGCTTCCATCATCTGGATTTTGAAACGACTTGCCTGTGATCTAAAGAGCTCATCCCATTCACATGAAAATGCGTGCTGTGGCAATATGAGACGGGAATATTTTCCACAGGGCTCAGGCCAGGTTTTTAGTGAGTGCTGAGAGAGCTCGATGCTGGTGAAAAGCACAAGCTAGATTCAAGCGAGTGAAGTCTCAATATATCTTGTTTGCTGAAGGAAGGCACTGCGCACCATGGCAGCGTGCTGAAGCTGCCATCTTGGTCCTGCCGCTGGCCTTCGCTTTGGCCTGGAGATGTCCCTTTGCTTCTGCTTACCAGTGAGGGAATGAGAAGAGAGAAAAGGGGTGCTGGAATTAGTGTCGTTTGCAGTCTGGGAGGGAAGCGACTCCAAAGAAATGCAAGTAGCATCCACCAGGTTATTTCTAGAGTAGTCAAGCTGACTGGACTTCGGGCTACTACTGAGAGGGAGCCTCACCCATCCCTTTGCCAGCTGGTCCATGAAAAGCATAATGAAAAACATGCCTCCCTCAGTTAAAAAGGGCTTCCCCCACAGGACAAGCAAGATGAGAAAGATTTAGTTATAGCAGTAGCCGTGGTGGTCTGGAAGCCAGCTTTGCAACCTTCTCCAATTTTGGCAACTTGGGCAAGGAGAGCTGCCGTTAGGAAGTATTGTACCTCAGGTCCCCTTAATCGCTGTTATGGCAGAAGACATTGAGGCTTGGCTTGTGACATTTTGGAGTGGTTTATTTAATCACGTTAAACAGGAAAGAAGGGTCCCTGTTATTTACTATTACAGCATAATTTCTTCCGCTGTGGGGAGAGGGAGATGAGCACGCTAGTGGTGTGCTTTAATTGCAAATACACAAGCTACAGTACCTGGAAATGAATTAACACAGAGTTCCTGGTAGGGAGCCTAGATATTTTGCTCTCTGTTAGAGGGAAAGGCGAAAATCAGACGCTTGTGCACGCACACAAGGATTTACATTTGGTATCCAAGGAAGCGAGAGCAGAATTCTGCAGGGCTTTCTGTTCTTTGTTTAAATGTTGCCATAGCAATATCTCAGGGCACAAGTTAATGTTTTCCACTTCTTGAGTTGAGCTTTTCTTCCCTCTCCCTCTCTGTCTTTCTCTGCACCAACCAAGGGATCTCTCCACAGAACTTTGCACAACAACAGGCAAAGCAGCTCGATGGCTGCATTATCTGTCCGCTTATGTCTATTTGGCTCTTCTCCCCTGTTGTTTGCTAATATGTTGGAAACCCAATTAGGAGAAAATTGTTGGATGGAAGTGAAGTGCGAGGCGCTTGTTGTTAGGACATTGAGCATATTACAATATTTTGTTTAGTGGTGATATGTTAATTGGATAGCTGCAGGCAAGTGAAGTGTAACAGTCGCTGACAATTAGAAACAACAGTTAACTTGCCAGGACTGAATCTATTCCTTGGGCAGATTAAAATGCTTTTCAGGTATATACTAGAGCTTCTCTAAACTTAAATACTCACCCCACTGTAAGAGCTAAGCAGAAACGAGATTTGGCATCGCTGCTTGTGAAAGGGAGAGAGGCAGCATTGGATCACCGAATAAAGTCTCTGATAGTATTTGCTGCAGAGCTTGTACTTGTTATGTCAGAACTAAGGGGGTGCAAAGTAGCAAAAAACCCAGGAGAATTAGAAAGGAAACAAACCAACCCTAAAATAAAGCAGAAAAACCCAGCAATGATGTCTTTACTTGCAACTAGGTAAACCTTGCTCAGGAGTATCACAACAAAATAAGTAAAATGAATGTGTTTTTGACTGCAAGCCCAGTGGTAAT